TCTGGCTGTGGAGAAGACAACACCATATAATGACCTCTGATTCAAAGTATATACTACATTTTGGAATACCTGGGTGGTTCAGTGTTTGGGCATCTGCCTTTGGCTCAGGGCGTGATACCGGGATTGAGTCTCACATTGGGCTCCCTGCAAGGAGCCTGCTTCTCCCTCTCTGCTTCTCTCTCTGTGTCTCTCATGAATAAATAAATAAAATCTTTTTTAAAAAAACAAAATATACTACATTTTATGAGATAGAACTTATAGAATTATAAGCTGCTGCATTTCTGTTGATATGAAATGAGTTTCTTGATCAGAAGCAGTGCTGTGCAGAATACAATAATGGTGAATAAGGCATTCTGTGAGTCTATTGATGGAGATCCTAGCAGAATTATGGGGAGGGAAGGCATCTATACCCAGAATATGTGTATATTATAGTGAGGAAGATTTTCTGCATTTTCAACTATGAGAGAGTTCCAATGTTATCAACCTGCTACCAGGTGGCCGGGCAAATGGTGCCTTATCAGAGGTCCAGTGTTGGTCTCTGCTGTTAGCAGATAAGGCATTCAGCAATAGCATTAGCCAGGTCAGGTAATGAGAAGTCCATGTAATTGAATCTATGGCTAGCTTCCATCTCTTCCATAATCATTTTGTTCATGGGCCTATTGAATAAGTGCTTGGTGTCTGGGGAAAGAGGTTGTCTGACATCCAGAGGATGCCATTTTGAACACTTGATTATTAAGAACCTCCTCTGTAGTGAATATGTTTTGGTGGTCCGCTTCCATCCCTAACCATCCAACCAAATTGTTAGCAGCCACACGTGAATTAGTGTAGGTGCATAATCTGTCTTTGTGGGGAGGACACTATTCAATTCAGTACAGTAGACAATCCTACTGAGGGTATTTCCCTTTCCAGTTGTCCATTAGGGTGCTTTCTTTTTTTTTAATTTTTTTAAAAAATTTATTTATGATAGTCACAGAGAGAGAGAGAGAGAGAGAGAGAGAGAGAGAGAGAGGCAGAGACACAGGCAGAGGGAGAAGCAGGCTCCATGCACCGGGAGCCCGATGTGGGATTCGATCCCGGGTCTCCAGGATCGCGCCCTGGGCCAAAGGCAGGCGCTAAACCGCTGTGCCACCCAGGGATCCCTTTTTTTTTTTTTTCATTAGGTGCTTTCTTTTTTTTTTTTTTTAAAGATGATTTATTTATTTATTTATTTATTTATTTATTTATTTATTTATGACATAGAGAGAGGGAGAGAGAGAGAGGCAGAAACACAGGAGGATGGAGAAGCAGGCTCCATGCTGGGAGCCTGACGTGGGACTTGATCCCAGGACTCCAGAATCGCGCCCTGGGCCAAAGGCAGGCGCTAAACCGCTGAGCCACCCAGGGATTCCCTCATTAGGTGCTTTCTGAGTGGAGTTTTGTTTAAGCATATTGCAGTGAAGTTAAAATTTAATTACAAAAGGATACATGCAATTTCACATATTTGAAAATCAAGTTATATTATTAAATAACATTTATTTAAAAAATATTTATGTATGTATTTATTCATGAGAGACACAGAGAGGCAGAGACCCAGGCAGAGGGAGAAGCAGGCTCCTCACAGGGAGCCCAACGTGCGGCTGGATCCCAGGACCCTCAGATCATGACCTGAGCCAAAGGTAGACCCTCAATGAGCCACCCAGGTGTCCCAACCTTTATGTTTGTTTGTTTGTTTATTTATTTATTAAAGATTTTATCCATTTATTCACGAGAGACAGAGAGAGACAGAGACAGAGAGAGAGAGAGAGAGAGAGAGAGAGGCAGAGACACAGGCAGAGGAAGAAGCAGGCTCAATGCAGGGAGCCTGACGGGGGACTCGATCTCAAGTCTCCAGGATCAGGCCCTGGGCTGAAGACCGCACTAAACTGCTGAGCCACCCAGGCCGCCCCCAACTTTTATGTTTAAAAGGAAAATACAAAGTAGATTAGTACTTAGAAATGAATGATAATGAAAATACTACATGTAAACACTTTTAGATCACAGTTAAAGTGGTTCTTAGAGAAGAAATTATAATTTACATGTATTAAGAAACAAGACAGTTGTTTTGTTTAGATTTATTTATTTATTTGAGACAGAGAGAGAGAGAGAGAGAGAGAGAGAGAGAGAGAAGCCAGGTGGGGCAGAGGGAGGAGAGAGAATCTCAAGCATAGTCCATAATGCCTGACACAGGGTTCGATCTCACAACCCTGAGATCACCACCTGAGTTGAAACTAAGAGTCAGATGCTTAACCAACTCTGCCATCCAGGTGCCCCAAGAAACAAGATAGTTTTATTTTTTATTTTTAAAAATATTTTATTTATTCATGAGAGACACAGAGAGAGGCAGAGACACAGGCGGAGGGAGAAGCAGGCTCCATGCAGGAGCCAGAGGTGGGACCCAATCCGGAACTCTGGGATCACTGTCCTGAGCCAAGGCAGATGCTCCACCACTGAGCCAACCAGGTGTCCTGAAACAAGACAGTTTTAAAACAAAGCAGCTACGCATCTAATTATGATATTTGAAAAACAGTAATATCCAAAGAAACAAGAGGGAAGCAAATAATAAGAATAAATAAGAAAATAAAGAGGGTGATCCCTGGGTGGCTCAGCGGTTTGGCACCTGCCTATGGCCCAGGGCGCAATCCTGGAGTCCCGGGATCAAGTCCCGCATCGGGCTCCTGGCATGGAACCTGCTTCTCCCTCTGCCTGTGTCTCTGCCTCTCTCTCTCTGTATCTAATAAAAATAAATAAAATAAAAAAATCTTACAAAGAAAATAGAAGCAGTAATATATTTTTAAAGATAGAAAACAGTAATGAAATATTAGATGAGATGAAAATCGCTGGCAAGACTGACAGAGAAAGACTGCAAATAAATGGCAATATTAAAAGAGGGGGAATTAACCAAAGTCTCAACAGAAATTAAAACTTAATAAAGTAGTATTATGAATAAGTATATATAAATACCTTTTAAAAACTAAATGAAATGGACAAAACCCAAGAAACACAAAACTGCAAAAATAATGCAAGAAGAAAGAAATAACTTGAAAAGATCAATAAGGACTAAACAAAACAACAAAATCTCAAGTCCTACAATGGTTATACAAATAATTTCTGCCCACATTTTAAAAATTAGTTATTTATTTTAGCTTATTTAATCTTTACACCCAATGTGGGGCTCGAACTCATGACCCTGAGATCAAGAGTCATATGCTCTCCTAAATGAGCCAGCCAGGCAGTCCAATTTCTACCAAGTTTTAAGTTATAATTAATGTTCAGTATAAACTCAACACTGAATATGAAAACAAATGGAGAAATCTAAAATGTATTCCTTTGAGATCAGGAAAAAGAAAACAGTGTCCAATATTACTGGTGATATTTAGTATATAGACTTAGTTGTCTTGGTGAATGGTATTGAGAAAGAAAAAAAAATCTGAAGGAATATAAGAGAAAAGATAAAACTGATATTTTTCCAGATAATATAATCATCAGTAGAGAATAATCAACAGAATCAAATCATGAACTTAGCAGAATAAAAGAGTGTACATGTTTCTGATACCAGCACAACATACACAAATTAGTTTCATTTCTCCACAATAGTTTACTATTGTAAACTAGAAATATAATTTAAGAAAAGACACTATTTAACTTAGCAGCAATATATTTATGGAGAAAAATGTTGAACTGCAATAAAGGATGTAGAAGATGATCTGAAGTGAGAAGACATTTTTTTTAAGATTTTATTTATTTATTCATAGAGACACATACACACACACAGAGAGAGAGAGAGGTGATAAGACATTTGGGTGGGATAACATAAAGATATTAACTTTCCTAAATTAATCTATAAATTCATTGTAAATTCAATCAAAATTTTAGTTGAAAATTTTAAGGGACTTGATAAACTCACTCATAGAGAAGAGTAAAAGTATGTAAGTAGCTAAGTCAACCTTGGAAAAGTAGAATAAGAAGTAGGTCTTGTGGGGATCCCTGGGTGGCTCAGTGGTGTAGTGCCTGCCTTCAGCCCAGGGCGTGATCCTGGAGTCCCAGGATCAAGTCCTGCATCGAGTCCCGCATCGGGCTCCCTGCATAGAGTCTGCTTCTCTCTCTGCCTGTGTCTCTGCCTCTCTCTCTCTGTCTCTCATGAATGAATGAATGAATGAATAAATAAATAAAATATTAAAAAAAAAACAAAAAAAGAAGTAGGTCTTGCTTTATCAGATATTAGGGCATATCACAAAGATAAAGTTATAAATGCTGGATGTTGTTGACACAGAAATAAATAAGAAACAAGGTTGCTATATGGAGATGATAAAACTAGTTCCCTTCCTAATATTATACACGAAGGTAAACCAAAAATCTTTAGCATAAATATGAAAGATAAAAATATATTTAATAGGGGCACCCAGATGGCTCAGTGGTTGAGTGTCTGCCTTTGGCTCAGGTAATGATCCTGGGGTCTTGGGATTGTGTCCTGCATCAGGCTCCCCACGGGGAGGCTGCTTCTCCCTCTGCCTAGGTCTCTACCTCTCTCTCTGTCTCTCATGAATAAATACAGTCTATATATATATATATATATATACACACACACACACATATATGCTTTCTTATATATATATAAGAAATATATATGTTGTTTTATAGATTTACTTATTTATTTATGAGAAACAGAGAGAGAGAGAGAGAGGCAGAGATACAGGCAGAGGAAGAAGCAGGTTCCCCGTAGGGAGCCCGATGTGGGAGTGTATCCTGGGACTCCAGGATCATGCCCTGAGCTGAAGGAGATGCCCAACCGCTGAGCCACGCAGGCGTCCCAATGGCACAGTGTTATAAAGGGAATAGAATCTGGTGTCAGAAGACCTGAGTTTAACTCATGGCTCTTTCAATTAATTAAGTGTGACCATGAGCCTTAGTTTTCTCAGCTCCATAAAGTGAATGGTCAAAAAAAGATAAAACTTGTTATGTACTAAATATAGAAGTCAACCTACCGATACTTTGGTTTTCCATTTGGACATCCTCCTTTCTATTACGGTTGATAGTTGGTGTATGTCTGTGTCTGGGAGTATTCTTTTATTCACACATTGTAGACAGCTCAATTCAAACAGGATTAAACAAAATAAAACAAAAAGAGAAGGGGGAATTAATAACTCTTGTTATTTAAAATTCATGAGTACATCTAACTTCTAGCATGGCTGAATTCAGAAGCTCAAAATATGTTTCAAGAAGCTGTCTCACTTCATCTCCTGGCTCTGTTTGTCATAGGTTAGGTGTGCCCTGTGTGTTGTTTCCAGGAATTTCAGGCTTATATTTTCACAGTTCCAAGATGGAGAGAGCTTCTTCTGCTGTAAACTCTCCCAAAAGTTCTGGGATATATGCTGTTCCGGTTAACTTGATTCCCTCTTTTATTCTTGAGCCAAGGATGTAGCCAAGCTGGGGGCACTTATGTTGATCAGCTTAAGTTAATATTATGTGATCATTCCTAGAATCTGGAGTGGGGTCATGTGGACCCAAACTATGAGTACTAGAAGTGGGGTGGGGCTAGTTTCCCAAGGAAACACAGGGTTCTATAATAAAAAAGGAGAGGAGGAGGAGGAGATGTGTGGGAAAGAAAAGTATTATATTTTCTCCCTTTCCTTTGTCTTTATTGCTCATTTTGACAAGAAAACATATATGAAGATGTTGCAGGAACCAGAGACCTGGTGATTAGCCCTTGGGGAAGACCCTGACTTAAATTCAAGGATAGCTGGGTATATGAGAGACAGGGTTGTGTAGGAAGAGTAACTTAGAAATTGATAAAGTCCTTCCTCACCTCCTCATCATACAGAAAGCTTTTTTTTTTAAAAAAAAACTTTATTCAGATATAGTTCATACCATACAATTCACTCATTTACAATGCATAATTCAATAATCTTTTGTAATGCAGTACTGTGTGACCTTCTTTACCATAAATTTTAGAACATTTCAGCATCTCCAGGAGAAATTCTCTATTCTTTAGCTATTACTCCCCTTTCTCTTACTTCCTTTGTCTCCATTAGCCTTAGGCAACCACTTTTTGTCCCTATGGATTTTCCTATTCTGGACATTTAATATAAATGGAACAATATGTGACCTTTTGTGACTGGCATCTTTCACTTAGCATAATGTTTTCAAGGTTCATCTATGTTGTTGCATATATTTGTACTTCATTTCTTTTTTATGGTTGAAACAATATTCCATTGTACAAATATACCATGTTTTGTTTATCCCATTCATTGGCTGATGCGTATTTGGGTTGTTTCCATCTTTGGGTATTGTTTTGGGGTGGAAATACATTTCCATTTCCCTTTGGTATATATTTAAGGATGGAATTGCTGGATCAAATGGAAAAACTGTTTAACTTTTTGAGGAACTGCCAGACTGTTTTCCTAAGTGGCTGTATCACTTTACACTCTTGTTTATATTCACAACAAGAGTGTAGGTAAGTTCCAGTTTCTCCATATCCTAGCCTGATCTTTTTATTGTCTGTCTTTTAAAAATATTACTGCCATACTAGTAGATGTTAGGTGGTATCTCATAGTTTTGATTTGTATTTCCCTAATGATTAATGATGTCGAGCATCTTTTCATGTACTTGTTGGCTATTTGTAGATCTTATATATATATAATTTGCAAATATTTTTCCCCATTCTGTGGGTTGTCTTTTCCACTTTCTTGATGGTGTCCTTTGAAGCACAAATTTAAAAATTAGTCCAATTTATCATTTTTTTTCCTTTTGTCATTTGATTTTTAAGATGCTGCCCTTGTTGATTTTTTGGTAATTACTGTTTTTTGAATATAGTTGACTTCAAGTGTACAACTTATTTTTAAGTTTTATTTATTTATTCACCACTCTTGCTGCTTTTAAAACTGATACTTTATACAAAGCTTATGTCTGTTTCTTTTATACATAAGACCTCATAAGTACTTTAGATGAGTCCTAAGACTGTTTTTAAAATAATGACTCACAAGCATGGGACATCAGAGCGTGAATAAGGTGAGAAGGATCCACTCAGGGGTGGCCGGATGTGAGGGGTCAGAACCCACAATGCTGGGAGGGCATCCATGCATGGGATGGTTCAGAACTGGGTATTAGAGCCCAAGAAAGGAAGGCATCTACATATGGGAGTAGCCTGATGTGGGGAATCAGAACCTGAATGGGCAATGAAAGGCATTCATGCCAGTGAGGGGGGGGTTGGGAGGGTGAGGTGGAGGGGTTGGGGGGAATGGGGGGAGTGGGTTGGGGAATTGGGGAGGTGGGGAGCTCAGTGCACTTGAGAACCCAAATGGTGTGAAAGGACTCTCACACTAAAGGTGGAATAGCCTGGAAGAGAGTATGGGAATTCAAGTGAAATGAGGAGGGTGTCTGCATGGGGGAGAGGATGGTGGAGGTGATGGGAGATTGATTATATTCAGGAATATTGACCAAATATTAAGGATAATAAGAGCCAGGTTTCTCACTATTGGAGAAGGAATTAAAAGTATATAATCTTCAGATTCTAAATATATCCAAAAATAAAATCTTTAGAAAGGAAGAAAACTAGAATGAAATTTGTGGTGGATTAAAATTGGAGGTATCGGGATCCCTGGGTGGCGCAGCGGTTTGGCGCCTGCCTTTGGCCCAGGGCGCGATTCTGGAGACCCCGGATCGAATCCCACATCGGGCTCCCGGTGCATGGAGCCTGCTTCTCCCTCTGCCTATGTCTCTGCCTCTCTCTCTCTCTCTCTCTCTCTCTCTCTGAGTGACTATCATAAAATAAATAAAAATCAAAAAAAAATTTCTAAAATTGGAGGTATTGGTATAAACTCATGGCTTTTAATATATAGAGATCAATATAGAATTGTAGATGTAAATACATGGACAAGTATTTACATATATGTATTCACACATACATCTCCGTACATGCATAATACATCTGTACACACATGTTGATTAGATATGTCTTTTTAAAAATATTTTATTTATTCATGAGAGACACAGAGAGAGGCAGAGACACAGGCAGAGGGAGAAGCAGGCTCCCTGCAGGGAGTCTGATGCAAGACTCTATCCCTGGACCCCAGGATCACTACCTGAGCCAAAGACAGAGGCTCAAATGCTTAGCCACCCAGGCCTCCCTAGGTATGTCTTCTGAAAGAACTTGGGAGTAGTGGCATCTCAACGGCAATCATCAAAACCAGTCCCCAGATAGTGGTCTTTAAATATCATTTTGAGAGCAGGTGAAGCAGTTTGCATAAGGTTAAAGGCAGGCACTGACTACTGGGAGACTGTTCATTCCAGGAAGGTAGAGTTGTTTACAGTCCTACAGTGGCTTGGGGACCAAGCTTTGGATCCACACTAAGAGTGAGTTGGATCCCAGCTCTGGATTTACCAGCTATATGATATATTGATAACAGGTTAACATTTCTGAGCCTCAGCTCTTCATTTGTAAATAGGACAGTACAAGGATAGAAAAGGTAAAAGTCAGTCAAATGCCTGGCATGTTGTGAGCTCTCAGTATTCTTCTTTTTTTTTTAAGATTTTATTTATTCATAAGAGACACATACAGAGAGAGAGAGAGAGAGAGAGAGTCAGAGACACAGGCAGAGGGAGAAGCAGGCTCCATGCAGAGAGCCCGACGTGGGACTCGATCCCAGGTCTCCAGGATCTGACCCTGGGCTGAAGGCAGCGCTAAACTGCTGAGCCACCTGGGCTGCCCAAGAAACAGACTCTTAACTAAAGAGAGCTGATAGTACCAGAAGGGAGGTGAGCACTGAGTAATGTATAGAATTGTTGAATCACTGTATTATATACCTGGGATGAATATACACTGTATGTTAAGTATACTGGAATTAAAATAAAAAACCTAATAAAAAAATTAGGTGTCTATGGACTTTCTACTACAGAAAATTTCACTCTTCTTTCACATACACCAACATTCACACCTTTGCTGTCCACACATCCTGCCAGGTGCCAAAGGTGCTTTGCCTCTTATAGAAGTACTCTCAATGTTTACCATTATCTTTCTGGGACCTTTCTTCACTTCTCATGATGAAAGGCTTATTTTCTGTACCTACCTGTCTTCCCTTCATGACAGAGGTCTGATCTTGCCTACTGGATTCCATGTCTTCCCCTCATAAGAGAGGTTCTTGTGTACTGGATCCCAAGTCTTTCTCTTTTTGGTTTACTCCCTCATTTTGGAGAAGCACATTCTTTCTAGTTTCCTACAAAGAATTTAGTGCAGGTATTTTTTGGGAGCTTTTGTGTATTAAAATATCCCCATTCTACTTTCTTAGTTAAATGATAATTTGGTGGGTCTGAAAATTCTACCTTGGGAAATCTTTTTCCTTCATAATTTCATCATCTAGCTTTCAGGGTTGCTAAGAAGTCTGACTTTATTCTGACTCCTATTTCTGTGTGTGGAATCTTATCTGCTTGTCTTTCTAGCCTTAATTCCCACCATATTCCCTGTTTTAGTTGGTTTGCCTTCAGCAGCAAGTAAATGAAAATCAACTCAAAGTGGCTTACAAAATAAAATGTATCTCATATAATTAGTCTAAATGCAGGATGGCTCTAAGGATAGTGAATTCACTGATCAGTAAATTATCATTGACCCCAGTCTTTTCATTTTCTAGCTTTTCCCTCCTCTTCTTTCCTTAGATTAGGTCTCCTTATGTTCATAAAATGGCTATAGCAATTCCAGGTGTATCCAATATCCAGATACAAGAAGGTAGAAAAGAAGGAAAAGGTAATCTCTTCATCCGTATCTTTTCTAGGAAAGAAGAAATGTTTCTCAGAAACATCCAGTTGGGATCCCTGGGTGGTGCAGCGGTTTGGCGCCTGCCTTTGGCCCAGGGCGCGATCCTGGACACCCGGGATCAAATCCCACATCGGGCTCCCGGTGCATGGAGCCTGCTTCTCCCTCTGCCTGTGTCTCTGCCTCTCTCTCTCTGTGTGTGTGACTATCATAAATAAATAAAAATTAAAAAAAAATTAAGAAAAGAAAAGAAACATCCAGTTGATTTTACCTCAGGCCTCATTGATAAGAATGTATCACCTGCCCAAGCCTAATGAGAGAAAGGGAATGGTACTACCTTGATTGGTTTAGATTAATCAGGATTCACCTTGGGATCTTAGGAAGTAGCTGGCATCTACACAAGCACACAATCAAGTGGAGAAGGATAGATACCTGGACAAAAGCAGAGCTATAATGGTAAGGAAGAGGGGAAATGGTTCTGGAAGGGAATCAACAATGTGTCCTTTACTCCTGGACGTATTTTGTTTCAGTAATCCTGACTTTATTACAGTTTCCCCCATGCTCATATTTTTAGGCCTCTGACTTGGCATTGGCTCCTGCTGTTTTTGTCACTGTAGGAAGCTGAAAAGTAGGCTTGATTTCTGGAGTCTCCCTAGGAAGACATTTATCTCTGTACACTTGACTAGTATTAGATGAACGTTGTAAACTCTCTAAGTCAAGTCAGAGTGTTGACACCAGGTGCTCCCTCACCCACGGTCCTGGCTGCAGATCTGTCCTGAAGCTCTCCTGGTCTGTCACCATCAAGGCTAATTGGTTCAAGGAAAAAATATTGAAGCCAAGCTGAACCCATTGGATTCTCTCCCTATTTGGTATTAGGACTGAAAGAAAGTCAGTTTCCATCTGCTTCAAACAATCACTTCAAGAGGGGCAGCTGAAAAAAAAAAAAAAAGAGGGGCAGCTGTATTCCATCTTGTGCTTTGAGGAACAAAGAAATCTTTACAGGGAGAAGGAGCAAATGCACAGAGAGAAGCAGGAGTGAGATGGAGTGGAGTATTCCTGCCTTCCTACTCTTGATTTCAGCCCCCTGAGGGCTGGATGCATTCCTTCCCCTTGTCTCATGAGATAAACAAGTATCTTTATTTTAAATCCCCATTTTGGGGGTGCCTGGGTGGCTCAGTCAATTAAGCATCTGCCTTCAGCTGGGGTTGTGATCCCAGGGTCTTGGGATTGAGCCCTGCATGGAGCCCCTCATCAGGCTCCCTGCTCAGCGGGGAGCCTGCTTCTCCCTCTCGCACTCTCACTCTCCCTACTTGTACGCACTCTCTTTGTCAAATAAATACATTTTAAAAATTAAAATAAATTCTCCTTTTGATTTAAACTAGTTCCCCAGAAGTTCTGCTATTTTTTATCTACATCATCTTAATTTAAGGAGTTATGACTGATCTTCCTGGACTAGGACTGTGAAATCTGAGGGCCTGTGACTTTATCTTGTGGCACAAGGTCTCTTTCTCTCTCATCACCAGGTTTTATTTATCCTAAACCTTGTGGGGAATCTGGTATGCTTGGGAAGGGGAGCTGAGGTGGTGTAAGCAAGAGTGGATAGAAGCAAGTGTGTGTTTGGTTCATGTAGAGACTAGTAAGATGTTTCACTTTTCTTCCACGTAGCATAAAGTAAGCATTAATAAATATTTGAACAAATAAGCAGTCTCTACCTCAAAAATCTGAATCTGATAAAAGATGAAATCATAAAGTAATTGTTAATAGCTGTGGGGTCACACTGAGCTAAAAACTCAGGGATCATTTGTAATTGCTGCACCTGTGGTCATTGTGTTGGGGCGTCAGACTTATATTTATGAGCTGAACTTCACCTTCATGTTATGCAATCAGTTTGTTGTAGGTGGGGCAATTCTAGTGCTGACATAGGAGACCACATAAGAAAAATCCTGAGGAGTTACCAATCGCTGGGAATCTCATTCAGACCTTGGGATCTGAACACTTTTGCTCAGAATTTTTGCATTGATTGTGTCATCTGTTATCATGCATCGGCCTCTTAACCAGCTTTCATCACTTCTTGACCCAATTCCTCATACGTGTGGTGTTACTTTGGACAAATTGGAACTAGAGTTCCCAGAGTCCTCTTCCTTGTGTGATTTAGAGTTGGGGGGAAAAAAAGCCCAGCATGAGATTTGGTAGGTAGTAGTGAAAGAGCAGCCACGCTCTGGAAGAAACACACAGAGAACTTTGCATACCTCAGTTGTCTCTACTTTCTACCACAACAGTGGTCGGTTACGTATGTTCTTGCTCTCCCTGGCCCCACCCCCAGTTCTCTCCAGTGCATGCCTTGCTGACCAGCAGTGCCTCCAGGCTGGGCGGTCCCACTCTGACTGACTGCTGAAGTGCCTGGTTTCTCAGATGGATTTGCAAGCTCCATCTTGCCCACCTCTGTCAACAGTAGAGGAGGGCTGGCCAGTGACTTCTCTGATCCTTCAATTTCTGCTTTTTCCTTTATTCCTCTGTTTCTTCAACAATAGTAGGTTGTAACTGTACTTTGTTTGCTGTCCCAGAAATCATCACAGCTTCTAGCATATCATGAAATCTCAATAGTTACTAAATGATCTTTAGTTTACAGAAAGAAGGAAAGAAAGAAAGAGACTACTTGGGGCACCTGAGTGACTCAGTCAGTTAAATGCCTTCGGCTCAGGTCATGATCTCAGGGTCCTGGGATGGAGCCCCATATTGGGCTCCCTGCTCACTGGGGAGTATGCTTCTCCCTCTCCATCTGCCTGTGCTCTCTGTGCGAAATACAGAAATAAAATCTTAAAAAAAAAAAAAAGAAAGAGAGAAACTACTTATCTCATTGAACTGGCCTCAATGCCAGATAGTGGAGATTCTCTTCACTATTTTGGCTAAGAGGAAAAAGGTGCTTTCCAAACTCTTATTACTTCCTTCTTAAAATAATCCCACAAGGCATATTCTTAAAAAAAAAAAAAAAAAGGCACAGATGAAATAAAGAAATGAAAGTTGCTTACTTCAGAACCTAGGGTAAAAGAGGAAGTAGACCAAAATTAGAACTTGTAGTTATGTTTTTTCTAATTTATATATTCAATTCAACTTAATGAGTATTTATTGAGCATCTACATATAAGAAAACTTAACAATGGAAGTCAAGTAAGGATGGATAGAGAGCCAATGTGCTATGGTGCTCCTATTTGGAGAAACTTTATTCAAATTCTTTGATGTGGAGCCATTGTTGGTTATTACTCAATTCCTATTCTCAATACCCTATCTTTTTCTCTTTCCTGAGTTGAGTCTCGGGTTGTGATTTCCACATGAACATAAACCCAAAGTAGCTTAATGAGATTCAGCAGAAATAGGTCCTCCAGGCCATGGCCCATCTAAGAGAATATTTTGTTATTTCCTAGGCAGGAGTTCTTAAAATTTACTAGTAAAACTTCACCTGGGAAGTCTATCTATCTATCTATCTATCTATCTATCTATCTATCTATCTATCTATTTATTTAAAGATTTTATTTATTTATTCATGAGAGACACACAGAGAGTGGCAGAGACCTAGGCAGAGGGAGAAGCAGGCTCCTTGCCGGGAGCCTGATGCAGGACTTGATCCCAGGACCCCAGAATCATGACTTGAGCCAAAGGCAGAAGCTCAATCACTGAGCCACCCCGGTGTCCCTGGAAAGTCTCTTTAAAACAGAATCCAGGAGTGTCTTGCTGGCTCAGTTAGAGGAGTATGGGACTCTTGATCTCGGAGTCATGGTTCAAGCCCCAGGTTGGGTGGTGTAAAGATTACTTAAAAATAAAGCTATAAACAAGAAAAAAATAAAAAGCAGAATCCTAGGCTTCCTTCCTCATACTCCCCCCACCAACTCTGTCCCTGCTGATTAAAATTCAGGTTATCTACAGAATTTCTATTTTTAACAAGACTGCAGGTGCTCATCTGATGCAATGGTCTCTAGGCTAATTTGGGGGAAATGTCCAAAAACACCTGAAAGAGAATTGCCTGGGCATTTATTTATTTTTTTAAAAGCTGATGATTCCTCTGAATACAATTTTGGTGGCAGTACCTGGGAATATGCATTTTAAATTCATCTCCCACTTTATTCTTACAAATTTTCAGACCTCCCCCCTTTGAGAAGAATTGGTAGATCTCCTATTTTATATTTAAAGCCCAGGCGGGGGGTGGGGGTGAATGGGTGACGGGCACTGAGGGGGGCACCTGATGGGATGAGCACTGGGTGTTATTCTGTATGTTGGTAAATTGAACACCAATAAAAAATAAATTTATTATAAAAAAATAAATAAAGTCCGGTTTAGACACAAAGTTATCTGGAGAGAGAAATAGAAAAAAGAAAAGCTTTCTTTGCTAATAAATATTGATTTTAGAATCATTCCTTCCTAACTCTTAGAATCCATTTCCAGCTTATTGCTATTCTAAGCGTTACCTGGAAAATGTCTGGATTCCCAAGGTCAGGCAGCCTTTACACCATCTGAGGTAGCCCTGATTTGCAGATAAAACATAAGCAGGCCCATCAAACAGTGATGGGGCACAGAAGCTTTGGGGGTGTTGGAAACTATCTTCCTGAATCATGGGATCATGGTCTTTCTGGAGCCAATCTCAGGTCACCTGTCTGCTTCCTCACCCCATCCCATCCCGACATTCCCCATTACCAAAGCCATGTCTAACATGCTGTACCCGATGCCACTTCTGTAAAAAAAACAAACAAAAAAACTGTCATTCAGATCATTTGAAAAGGGCATGATGTGGACATGTGGAGTGAAATAAGCATCCTGAGACTGATATGGGTTTGAATCTTGGCCTCCCCTCTCACCAGGCCTGAGTGTGGACCAGCTACTGAGTCTCAAAAGTGAGTGCAGAGTGATTACTGCTAGGGTGCTGTGTGAAGTCAGGAAAGCTGGTGTGTGAGAGCATTGGAGAGGGACAAAAGACATGGCATGCTCTCCTTTATTCCTGACTTCCTACTTCCTTTTATCCTCATTCCTTCCTTCTTATTCCACCTCTCACCCTCCTGGCTCTAGACAACTAGACTGGTTTGTAAATTTGAGAAGACTTTCTTCAGCCCCACCACTCCCCATGTTGTGGTGGACTCTGTCTGGTAAGACACTACTTTTTCTCACTAGCCTCTCATAACCGGAGCTTCTACTTGGTAGTCTTTGCTGTAGTGAAACTTGCTCCAAGGACTGAAAGGGAACATCTGCCGAGCACAGACAAGGGCCAAGTGCCATGGACTGAAAATACTACAGGAAAAGTGCTTAGGGCAATGGCTGGCTTGTTTAGTAAATTATAGCCATTACTCACCATTGTTTTGATATTTATTTCTCAAAGAGAGCCTGGAGAGTGCGTCCGACTCCTATTCTGGTCCTCTGTAGGTGAAAAAACTGAGCCTCAGAGTAAAGTAAGTAACTTGCTCCTGATCACATAGCTAGGAAGTGCTGGCACTGGAATTCTAACCCAGGCTAGAGACAGCTCCCAAATCCATACTTTCTCAACTGCCATTATTAAGACTTGAGTCTGAGGTCTTATATTCAAAACAAATATGGGAAAACTTCAGAAAAAGTTGCTAGTTCTGGAGATATGCACATATTCCGTTTTTTTTTTTTGTGGTATTAAAGTGCCTTGTAAGTGACTTCAAAAAAATATTCAGTATTTATAGGGAATGTGACAAGATTAAACAAGACTGGAAATCTGTTGGATAAACTGCTGACATTGGATGATGCATGTGTGAAGATTTGGCATGTGACTCTCTGCTTGTGTATATATTTGAAATTTTCTTCATTGAAGAGTTAAAAACCAAATTCTTTCACATCTGTCCAAGATGTATTTATGTGCAGTGTAATATACAGTGGCACATTATCTATAGGCCAGGAATTTGTAGTTGGTAGACTTCACATTTTGTGAGGGTTCTGTGGTTTTTGGCTATTTAGAATATTAATTTTTTGGTTTTTAACTCTCAAAATAATGTAAATTTATATTTATTGTATAATATGGGTAAGGCAACTAATGGCCATGACAATCCTATAGTGAAAGTAGAATTATCTTCATCTTGCAGATAAAAAACTAAAGTATTAGGGTAACTCTCTGGCTGGCTGGTTCTTAGCTGGGTGGAAGGGGATTTTGAACTCAGGTAGAATGTCTCAGGTCCACACACGTTTTGTTGTTCGGTTTGAGGGCACCATGTTCAAGCAAATATTCATCTAAAGTATCACTTAGGAATGATTTTACCAGAAATTAAGAAAACCATACTAATTATAGCTTAAGTGGCTTAAACAAAAAAGAACATTAATGTTCTCACTGAAAAAGGAGAATGGCACAAGGCACTCTAGGTTTGATACCAGCACTCACCCATGCCTCCATGGCTCTAGGTTCTTCTTTCCTTATGCTCAGCCACTCCCACTTGATGTCTTCCCAAGATTACACTTATCTTCTCGTTGTCACAAGACAGTAGCCTCACACGACTCTTCAACAGACTTATGAGATAGGAAGAAAAGTCAGGGGCAGTGCTACTGAATTCTTAAGCATGTTTCTCTCCTTAGCAGGAAGCAAAATCTTTCGCAGAGGCTTCGGGTAAACTTCCCTGTATGTCTCATTGGCCAAAGCTTTGTCCACTGCCACTCCTAGTGATAAGAAAAACTGGGAAATTATCTAATAAAGATAGACAAAATCACTGGGGATGACATTGATAAGTGGTTCATGAGCCTGAGGACATATAATTAAAGAAAGTTGGATTATTACTATTATTTACAAATATATAGATCTTTACTGGGATCCCTGGGTGGCGCAGCGGTTTGGTGCCTGCCTTTGGCCCAGGGCGCGATCCTGGAGGCCCGGGATCGAATCCCTCATCGGGCTCCCGGTGCATGGAGCCTGCTTCTCCCTCTGCCTGTGTCTCTGCCTCTCTCTCTCTCTCTGTGACTATCGTAAATAAATAAATAAAAAACCTTTAAAAAAAAAAAAAGCAAGCATTTATAGATCTTTACTTAAAGTTTTCTAAGAATGTAGGGGAGAGATTTATAACAAATAGCACAGTAAAGTTTTTTTTTTTTTTTAGTAAAGTTTCTTTTTAAATATTCAGAAGTGGGAATGCTGGATCATATAGTATTTCTATTTTTAATTTTTTGAGGTATCTCTACAATATTTTCCATAGTGGCTATACCAATTTATGTTCCCACTAAAGAGTTTCCTTCTATTTCTTTTCTTTTTAAAGATTTTATCCATTTATTCACAAGAGACACAGAAGAGAGAGAGAGAGGTAGAGACACAGGCAGAGGGAAAAGCAGGCTCCATGCAGGGAGCCCAATGAGGGACTCGATCCCAGGTCTCCAGGATCACGCCCTGGGTTGAAGGTGGCGCTAAACCGCTGAGCCACCCAGGCTGCCCACCTTCTCTCCATTTCCTTGCCAACACTTTTTATCTTTTTTTTTTCCTTGTCTTTTTGATACTAGCCATTCTGGCCATTCTGAGGTGATATCTCGAGGTTTTTATTTGTATTTCCCTGATAGTTAGTGATATTTAGTATCTTTGTGCTTGTTGGCCATCTGGATGTCTTCTATGGAAAAATGTCTATTCAGGGTCTCTGTCCATTTAAAAAAAAAAAGATTTATTTATTTATTTTAGAGAAGTTGGGGGGAGAGGCAGAAGGTGAGAGATTTGATTTTGTTATCTTTGCCTTAGGAAACAGATAAAAAAAATATTGCTAAATGTGATGTCACAGAGCTTACCTCCTATCTTTTCTTCTAGGAATTTTATGGTTTCAGGTCTTTGACCTGAAGACAAGACATTTAAGTCTTTGATCCATTTTAGATTTATTTTTGTATATGGTGTAAAAAAGTGGTCCAGTTTCATTCTTTTGCACCTAGCTGCAAAAAACTCTAAGAGAGCTTTTCTTACATATGGGGGAGAGGAAGAAGAGGGACAAATTTTAGACTATGGGCACCAATCACAAAGCTTTGCATACAGAAAGTGCTCAACAGATGTGTGTTAAATTGGCTTGAATCTAATTGAATTAAATCTTATGATGAGCTATAAACCATTGAGATGAATAAAATTAAAAAGACTATATGGATATTGTAAGCCTGGGAGATAAATCTTCAAAAAAAGAAAGGACAAATAAACTTTATATATTATATGAACTTTAATGAGTTTTTTTCTATTTACTTATTTTTAAGTAATCTCTATGCCCAACATGGAGTTTGAACTTATGACCCTAAGATCAAGAGTTGCATGCCCTACCTACGTAACTAGCCAGGTACCCTGAACTTTAATGAATTCTTTACATAAATATGTCAAAATACAAAATAGGAAAAGTTATTAAAAGTCATTTGTTAACTTATTAAAAATGTAGTACTGTAATTAAGTGGAGGATTTAGACAGGTTCATGGAATCATAAAAATATTTTGGGATTTCATAAATGACACAAAGTGTTAGAAATTTTTCATATTTATAAAGTGTCTTTAGCCCAGTTTTTTTTATTCCTAGTTAGAACTCTTATATAACAGTACACTACCTCTTCATGTGGAAAGGATAAAAGCTCAATTGATATGATTTATTATTTATTTGAAAAGTCAATAAAATATGACTCATTTTAACAAGTATTTAATGAATAACTGGAGATCTCATCTTAATTTTCTAATTGCTCCTACTTTCCTATTTATTTTTTTCCTAGTTATTCTTCAAGTAACTTACTATAAAGTAATTTAGTACTTTACAGGGTGACACTGTAACATGCCAAAGCCCTCATCTATTTTTTTTATATGGGTAGGCTTTTTGTCCTTTTATTTTTTCGTTTAAGATTTTATTTATTTATTTATGAGAGACGCAGAGAGAGAGGCAGAGACACAGGCAGAGGGAGAAGCAGGCTCCCTGCAGGGAGCCCGATGTGGGACTCTATCTCAGATCATGACCTGAGCCAAAGGCAGATCAACCACTGAGCCACCCAGGCGCCCCTTATACACCATTTTCTTCCTTAACTGTCCTAGGAAAACTATAATCCTCTTCATCACTAAACTGAGAGGTTCAGATGATGGGGGAAAAATGATTGCTGAAACAAGGTAGGTGCCCAACAATATTTTCTGTTAATATATGTGTGGTGAGAAATTAACAGAATATTTTAAAAGGGCAGTTGAAAAAAGATTTACAAGTATATACCTTAAAACCTTGCCTTAATTACAATCCTGGGAGAATGTATAGTATGGTACAGAGAAAAATATCCGAATTACATAGTCTTGGGTCAAGTTCTGTGACCTTGGAAAAGTTATTCATGCTTGAGGTGGCTCAGTTTTTTTTACTTCTCTAATATCCCTAAAATCACACCACTAAATTTATAACAGTATGTATAGTTGTGACAATTAATGAGGCAATGTGTATGAAGTCCCTTGAACAGTGCCCAAAGTGTAAACATCACATTAATGTTGCTTTTTGGTTGTGTTATGGTAGTTATCGTGTCTCTTTGCATTCCTGTTTGTACCTGAGTTCTAACAGTAGGTGGCAGCAATGCTCTCTTAACCAATTTAAAAGAAACCTGCCAACTTTCTGGAGTAATCCGTGAAGGTTTACCCGATTGGATGTGTGTAAGGCACCAGTAAAGCAGAAGGAGAGAGATATCATAGAGAAAAGAAAGAGAGGAGGAGGAAAGGAGAGAGATAGGGGGTGGGTGGGAGACAGAGAAATGTTCAGAAATGATATGATAATTCAAAAGAAAATACTAAAATAGTTTTATGAGGGTGGGGTGAGAACTAGACTTTTTAAAAAAGATTTTATTTATTTATTCATGAGAGACACACACACACACACACAGAGGCAGAGACACAGGCAGAGGGAGAAGCATGTGGGACTGGATCCTGGGACTCCAGGATCACGCCCTGAGCCAAAGGCAGGTGCTAAACCGCTGAGCTATCCAGGTGACCAGAGAACCAGATCTTTACTGGATATCCTTCCACCTTCTATAGGATTTAAGGTTATTTTTGTTCTTTTTAAAAAAGATTTTATCCATTTATTCATGACAGACGGAGAGAGAGAGAGAGGCAGAGACACAGGCAAGCGGGAGAAGCAGGCTTTCTGCAGGGAGCCGGATGTCGGACTCCATCCCTGGTCTCCAGGATCAGGCCCTGAGCGGAAGGCAGCGCTAAACTCTGAGCCACGGGTGCTGCCCTGAGGTTATTTTTGTTCTTAAAGACATGTGGGAGACTGGTACTCACCATTTATTTTCTGTGTTGACAGTTTTCAAAAGTTCTTAACTGATCCTAGATGAGATTTCAGCTGCCCAGAAAGAATCTATAATGTGTTTTACTGTTCATTTTGATCAAATTATTAATCTCAATTATAAACATATGGCTATTTTCCTCTGTGTAAAATATCCCTTCTACCATAAGACACTTAGTGGTATATTAGTTATCTGTTGCTCTATAACAAATACTCTAGGGATCCCTGGGTGGCTCAGCGGTTAAGCGCCTGTCTTCGGCCCAGGGCGTGATCCTGGGGTCCCGGGATGAAGTCCCAGGTCGGGCTCCCTGCATGGAGCCTCCTTCTCCCTCTGCTTGTGTCTCTGCCTCTCTCTCTGTCTCCCCCATGAATAAAAAAAAAAAAAAAAAAAAAAAACCCCAACCCCCCTCCCCCAAATACCCTAAAGGTTGGTGGCTTAAAATGATAAGATTTGTTGCCATATTTTCTGAGGACCAGGAATCCTGGAGTGGCTTAGCGAGGTGGTTCTGATTCAGGGTCTCCCGTGAAGTTTCTGTGAAGACATTAGCTGGGGCTGCACTTCTCTGAAGACTTTATGGAGCCTTGGAGGATCTGCTTCTAAGTTGGCTCATTCACATGGGTGGTAGCAAGAGGCCTCAGCACTTCACCAGCTGTTAGCTAGAGGCTTCTATTCCTTTGCATGTGAATTTAACCATAAGGTGACTTGAGTGTGCCCTAACATGGCATCTGATCTCTTCTAGGGTTAGTGATCCAAGAGAGACCAAAAGAAGGAAGCCACAATACCTTTTGTGACCTGGTCTCTGTAACGTCTACCATATTTGTTCAGAATGAGTCACATAGGAAATAACTAAACAAAATTCTCAGGAATCATACATATATATACAGGAAATGAGGTTCAAACATGGAGAAATCACAGGTTGTCTCTAATCTCTCTCAGTGGGGCCGTGGACACATATCCTCTCCCTGGATCTTGATTTCTTCCTCTATAAAAAGAAAAAAGTCACAGCTCTATGTGCCCCAACTCTGAAGTGGCCTTATCTCTGTCCCATCTGGGTGTGATTTTAATTAACAACTTGGTCTCTGTTTCTCCTTTCTTATTTTTTAAGATACTTTATTTATTCATGAGAGACATGGAGAGAGGCAGAGACACAGGCAGAGGGAGAAGCAGGCTCCATGCAGGGAGCCTGATGTGGGACTCGATCCCAGGACCCCAGATCACAACCTGAGCTGAAGGCAGACGCTCAACCACTGAGACACCCAGGTGCTCAGGTCTCTGTTTTTTCATCTCTAAAATGAAATGATCTTAGTGGCTTTCAAATTTTTTAGGCCCATTGTGAGAACTGTATTTTATATAGAAACTGCATACACACACACAGGCATGAGAGAGAGTCCATGTGGACAGCAAAAATATGTTTCACAAAACAATACTTTGACGTATCTGCATGATGTACTCTAACTCCCTACCCTCCACCCATTGTATGTTAATTTATTTGAAAAAAAAATCAGTTCAAGATCTCCTCCATTGATTTTACAGTCCATTAATGGATTCAACATTGTGTAAAAACTAACACCTTGAGCCTCTCACTCCTTGAGGCTCCTCTTCCATCAGTACTAGAAGAGAAATGTTAAAGGGTGGAGTCCTCACCTTCTAATTTTGGGGAAGCAAAAAGCACCCTCATGGGTGGTCAAGCCTACCAGCCTATCCTAATTAGACAGGAGCTAGTTAGTACCTGAGGTGTCTTGCCAGGGTGGAAAGGGTATCCTGTTTAGCTTCAAAAGTTGGCCCTGAAAATCATGAGCTGTGTCTCCTTGGGGAGTCCTTTAATGTCTCTTAATTCATTGAGGAGGAACGAACTATCATTCCTCCTCTTCATAGTTAGAATAACAAGTATCCCTTGTCTATCTCATAAAGTTACTAGGCTCAAAGATAGTCACTTACCATGTCGGCAGAATTTACAGACACCATCTCTAATCCCCACAGTGACCCTGCAAGATCCAGAGTATCATACTTGTTTTATAGATGGAGAAATTCAGGATTGGAGAATTTACATAGGCAAAACCTTAAAGTCATCAAGTGGCGGAACTAGGCTTCTAAACCAGTTCTGACTCCAGGAACCTCATGCGAGATGGACCAGCAGGTCAATTTTCATTCGACGTCTAAGGGGTGACCCTCTGATGTATTAAAATATAGGTTCATCCTGAATCACTCGAGAAACGGGCCCATCAGGCCAGGCCACCTTTTCTAATCTGTCTTGTCCCGAGCACGACGAGCGCGACGACCACCGGACGTACCGCAGGTAGGGCCCCGCCGGGGGGAGGGCACGTCCCGCTCCTCCCCTCGGGCGTCGCCAGCCGCAGCGCTCGCCGCTCACCGGGAACGCGAACGCGAACGCGAACGCGCCCTTAGGTGATGCGCCCATCGGCCCGCACCCGAGTCCCAGGTCGCTCCGACGCAGACAGCTCCCTCACACTCAAAGTGCCGTTTTCAGGGCACGGCCTAGCTTACAGCTCTTTTGCTCCTAAGTTTTGTCCCGTCAAGTGTGTGCGGATCTCGGCTGTGAACCCGGAGGCCCCCGCGGCCCCAGGCGGGCAGGGCTGGCCCCACAAAGCCCTTTATTGAGGCCTCGGCCTGACGCCGCGAGGCTCCCGGGCCCTGGGCGCCGCCCGCAGCTCGGGCGCGAGCAGGCAGGAGCCGGGTGCCGGCGGGGCGGGCCCGCGGGTGCGCGCGCACAGGGGCGCCGAGTCGGGGCGCGCTCCGCCCCCGGGGCACGGGGGGAGCGAGACCCTCCCACACCAGCGAGCACCGGTAATCAGCGCCGGCGGCCCTCCTCCCCTCCCCTCCCCCACCCCGAGGGCCCGCCCCCGGGGCCCCGGCGGACCGGGCGGGGCCGCGCGTCCCCCCGCCCCCTCCGCCCCTCCCGCACTCCGTCCCCCCGCCCCCTCCGCCCCTCCACCCCCTCCGTGCCCTCCACTCCCTCCGCCCCTCCGTCCCTCCCGCGCCCCCGCCCCCTCCGCCCCTCCCCCACTCCGTCCTCCCGCCCCCGCCCCCTCCGCCCCTCCCCCACTCCGTCCCCCCGCCCCCTCCGCCCCTCCCCCCTCCGTGCCCTCCACTCCCTCCGCCCCTCCGTCCCTCCCGCGCCCCCGCCCCCTCCGCCCCTCCCCCCCTCCGTCCCTCCCCCACTCAGTCCCCCCGCCCCCTCCGCCCCTCCCCCACTCCGTCCCTCCGCGCCCCCCCCCGTCCCTCCGCGCCCCCCCCATCCCTCCATCCCTCCGCCCCTCCGCCCGGGCTCTGCAGGCGGCCGAGGCTCCACCCGCTGCCCCGAGCGCGCACCTGCCGAGGACCTGCGGACCCGGGCGCCGGGAGGCTCGCCCCGCCGAAGCGTGCGTGGGAGGGGCGGCGGGAGTGGGCGCTTCCTGGTGAGCTCAGATTTTTTTTTTTTTTTTTGAATCGGGGAAAACCTGGGAGGGTTTGCATTCTTTCCAGGCTCGGGCGGGGGCCGGGCAGTTCCCGGCCGCGCGCAGCCAGGGTGGCTCGACGGTGCGGGAGTCGCCGGCCTGGGTGGGGCGGCTGCGGCCGCGCGGAGCCCGCTGTCGACCGGCGTTTTCCCCGCACAGGGCCGGAGATGATAAAAGGAGTTGATGGAAAATACGAGCGAGCACAGTGGTACGCGAGGAGTTCAGCTTCCAGGAACATTTGTTTTTTTTTGTTTTTTTTGTTTTTTTTATAAATTAATTTTTATTGGTGTTCAATTTACCAACATACAGAATAACACCCAGTGCTCATCCCGTCAAGTGTCCCCCTCCGTGCCCGTCACCCATTCACCCCCACCCCCCGCCCTCCTCCCCTTCCATCACCCCTACTTCGTTTCCCAGAGTTAGAAGTCTTTATGTTCTGTGCCCCTTTCTGATATCTCCCACACATTTCTTCTCCCTTCCCTTATATTCCCCTTCACTATTATTCATATTCCCCAAATAAGTGAGAACATACACTGTTTGTTAGGGACTTCCGACGTTCGGAAATGCTCTTCCCGAATCTTTTTTATTACTAGTTATTCCAAGACAGTGAAGTGGACGCCCTTGATTCTGTGAGTCGCAAACGTTTCAGGTAGAGCAACAGTGTGGCCGGTCATTACGCCAGGCGCCTATGCTGAGAAGTTAGACTGTGCCCATTTGCCATGGCTTATGGCTTGCCAAGAAGGAACGCAGTGAAAGCCCTGCTCCGGGGCACTTGTCCCGAAACGTGAGTGTCTGCATCACGGTGAGCGTTGACTAGGGGTGCGGAGTGTCCTTGGGAAAATAAAAGTACTGGAGACCCTATGTTCCTCCATGAGATAGTGGACATGGACTAGGTGACGTGTTTTCAGTTATCTGAATAGTGATTTTTTTAAGGGAAATGCTTTTTTTTTTTTTTTAAAGATTTTATCTATTTATTCATAGAGATAGAGAGGGGCAGAGACACAGGCAGAGGGAGAAGCAGGCTCCATGCGGGGAGCCCGATGTGGGATTAGATCCAGGGTCTTCAGGATCACACCCCGGGCTGAAGGCAGACGCTCAACCGCTGCGCCACCCAGGCGTCCCTGTGTCAAGTCTATCTTAACCAAGCACCTAACTGGCTGTACAAAGAGTCAGCTTTGCCTCCTGTACACTCTGGACAACATGTGTTTTGCAATCAGGAAGACCTGGGCTTGTGCTTCCTTGAGCTGCCCATATATTAAAATTGGAATAAAAACAGAGAAGATTAGCATGGGCCCTAGGCAAGGATGATATGCAGATTTGTGAACCATTCCATATTTTTGTTTATTAAAAAAAAAAAAAGATGTATGTATTTACTCATGAGAGACACAGAGAGAGAGAGTGGCAGAGACACAGGCAGAGGGAAACGTGGGCTTCCCGCAGGGAGCCCGATGTGGGACTCCATCCGGGAACTCCAGGATCACTACCTGAGCCAGAGGCAGATAGATGCTAAACCGCTGAGCCACCAAGGCATCCCCCATTCCATATTTTTAAACTGCAAAGCTAATCTGTATCATGTACTGAACTGATTTAAAATAAATCTACATTTTTTGGGGGGAAAAAAAAAAAGATCTGAGCTCTAAGCCAGGGCCTGCACTTGCTTCCTATGCTACCTTGAGTAAATTATTTAACTTATCTGTATCTTAGCCTCCACATCAGTAAAACGCACATATCAATACTTGTGTGTATGATGTGGAATACAAATCAAGTAAAATACTTGCACATTGCTTGACATACAGTGAACCCATAATGAACGTGGGTGGCTGCCACATGGTATTTTTCTCTGTAATGTCCTAGTGCTACATTGGTTTTTTTGTTTGTTTTTAATTTTTGGATTTGTTTTTTAGCTTCTCTGCCAAGGTCTATTACATATTTGCCATTATGAGTCAGTTGAATTTCTCTTTATAAACAATATTCTAAGAAGTAAGAGGAGACATCATTTGGGGTTCTAAAACCAGAGCTTTAGGAAAACCAGAGCAAACTCATCAATGCATTTTATTTAGTTTTGCCATTTCAGTATGTCTTCAGACCTTGAACTATAGGCAAGTACCATGTTAGTCAACATTATTATAAGTGTAATTTTTGTATTAAAGATAGTCCTGTGTCTGGAAAATAATTTGAAGCACTGATTCTGCAGTTTGGGTTATGTAGAATGTAAAAAAAAAAATTTTTATTTATTTGAGAGAGAGCACATGAACAGGGATGAAGGGCAAAGAGAGCGGGACAAGCAGACTTCCCACTAAGCAGGGAAACTATGTAGAGTTCCATCCCAGGACCCTGAGACCATGACCTGAGCTGAAGGTAGATAGATGCTTAACCAACTGAGCCACCCAGGTACCTGGTTATGTAGAATTTTATACCATGAATAGTTGCTGCAAAACCAGCACCTTCTCTATCATTCTTTTTTTTTTTTTTTAAGATTTTATTTATTTATTCATGAGAGCCACAGAGAGAGAGAGAGAGAGAGAGAGAGAGAGGCAGAGACACAGGCAGAGGGAGAAGCAGGCTCCATGCAGGGAGCCTGATGTGGGACTCAGTCCCCGGATTCCAGGATCACACCCTGGGCCAAAGGCAGGTGCTGAACCGCTGAGCCACCCAGGGAACCACCCCCCCCTTCTCATCATTCTTATAAGAAAGTGTTTGATACCATGTTTATAAGAACAGCTAAATTAAGAGAAAAAGAATGATAGTGACACTGTTTGGGATTCATTTGCTAAGACAACTCCTTACCTTGATTTTTCCATTATGTGTTTTTAGATTATAAAAAGTGTACACAAAATAGGGATGCCTGGTTGGCTCATTGGTTGGGGTTCTGCCTTTGGCTCAGGGCGTGATCCCAGGATCCAGGATTGAGTCCCACTTCGGGCTCCCTGCATGGAGCCTGCTTCTCCCTCTGCCTGTGTCTCTGCCTCTCTCTGTGTGTCTCTTATGAATAAATAAATAAATCTTAAAAAAAATACACAAAATATTAAAATAGAATAGAAGCATTTGAAAGGAAAATAAAAATGCTTTCATTTCCCCATTCCCACCTCTCCCCTGCCATCCCACTCAGAGGGAAAATGTCTTATATTTTTCTAGAATTTCTGTCTGCTATACAAGACATACACACATATACACATATACATACACATGTATATGTTTTTACATGTGATTATGTTGAATTTTTCTCCCTCCCTCACCATATCTTGTATAGTAATCATTAAGACCTTAGATTCTAGAGTCTGATTTTCTGGATTCAGATCCTAAATCCATGACCAACACACCTGTGATCTTGAGCAAGTTTTTCTACTCTTGTTTCCCAATCCATAAAATGAGCATAATAATAGCACTTGCCTACCTCATAGGGCATCTATGGTAATTAAATGTGTTCATATGTGTCAGCTGATTAAAACAGTACCCAGCCTATAGTAAATGCTAGATTAAAATTAGCTGCTTTATTGCTCATCTTTCCAAATCCACATATAAGGATAAACCTCATTCTTTCATTATATGTATGTACCACAGTTTGTTTAACCAGGCTCTTCGGGCAGCCCTGGTGGCTCAGCGGTTTGGCGCGGCCTTCAGTCCAGGGCATGATCCTGGAGACCCAGGATCAAGTCCCACATTGGGCTCCCTGCATGGAGCCTGCTTCTCCCTCTGCCTGTGTCTCTGCCTCTCTCTGTGTGTCTCTCCTGAATAAATAAATAAAATCTTTAAAAAAATTTAAAAAACAAAAAAAACAGGCTCTTCTTGGTAGACATTAAGACTATTTTGTGAGATTATTATTATTATTTTTATAAACAGCGCTTCAGTGAACATTCTTATAAATGCACCTTTGTGCCCTTGTTCAAAATCATTTATAATAATTGTAGACTTCAAGTAGCTCCTTAAAGTTACATGATAAAGTAGCAAGGAGGAAAACAAGTAGACCTGTGTATGGAATATCCTCATTTCCTCTACTTGTACCAAAGCAGGTCTTTCTCCTTTCCTAGTGCATATGAGTTCATATTGACTATATGAGATGAGAAGCATGGAGTTGGTATTTTAAATTTCCAAATTAAAATACATAAAACAATTCGTTTGAAGTTCATGGTGATTATTTTTAATATTATAGTTTGGGATTTCATCCCCTTCTCCAGTTTTCTGAGGATTCTTTTGGTACTAGTGCTTTTAAATAACAATCCCTAGGCTAAGTACCAGCTCAGTTTCTTAATTCACTTCTGAGTCTCTGTTTTCTTGTCTACCCACATGGTGCATTAAAATAAGATCACACACTCAAAGCCTTAGTGTATGCCAGCCACTCCACTCAATGCATGATTATTCCCTCTTTTCCTTCCCTAATATGACCATATTTGTGATCAGCCATAAAAGAATTGGAGCATACAGTTCTTAAACTGTATCCTCTTAAAAGACATGGAAAGATTGGATTGACTATAGGGAGGCTGTTTTTGATCAAAAGTTCCTGTCATTATGATTAATGATAATTTTTGACTATATCTCTACATTAGTATATATACATTATGCATTGGTATGTTTAATGTAAGACTTCTCCTCTGGCTAAATTTACAACTCTGGAAAATCCTGAATTCCTCTCATAAACAAAATGTCGGGGATCCATGGGTGGCTTAACGGTTTAGTGCCTGCCTTCGGCCCAGGCCATGATTCTGGAGTCCCAGGATCGAGTCCCACATGGGGCTCCCTGCATGGAGCCTGCTTCTCCCTCTACCTGTGTCTCTGCCTCTCTCTCTCTGTGTGTCTCTCATGAATGAGTACATAAGATCTTAAAAAAAAAGTCTAGTGGAAAATGGAACTGAGAATTAAGATGTCTTCTGTATATCCCACAATAGATGCTTAGTGATATTTATTGAATGAATTAGTGAATTTTTGCCCCAGACAGGAACCTTGGGAACTTGCACTGCTTACAAAGACCTGGTACACGAACCTAGCCAACATCAAGTTGCCTTTCTTGGAAGAAATTACATTTGGTAGTCCTGTACACCTCAAAAAAAATAAAACCACTAAGAATGTTCGCCTCCCTTCTGCAGAATGTAAGTTCTATATGAACTGTTTTAGGAAATAGCAATTTTTATCTGTATTATTTTGCTTATTATCAGAGAAAAATTTATTTATTTATTTATTTTTAAATATTTTATTTATTTGTTCATGAGAGACACACACGGGGAGGGGGGGCACAGACACAGGCAGAGGGAGAAGCAGACTCCATGCAGGGAGCCCGATGTGGGACTCGATTCCGGGTCTCCAGGATTAGGCCCTGGGCTGAAGGCAGCGCTAAAACGCTGAGCCACCCAGGCTGCCCAAGAGAAATGTTTAAATATGTTCATTCGCATCCATACCCTTCATCTGTGTAGCCCCTCTTATTTAGTATTTAAGAATGTGAGTTTTGCCATGTGGTTAAATGTTTGTTTTTAACAATATTATGCCTGGTGAAAAATGTTAGTTGGATTGCTCCATGTATTTTATTTTCCAGCCATCAAACTTGAAAGGGAGTATGAAATGAAGCGCTTGAATCACTTGAAATGTCAGGAAAATGTAGCCGAGGAAATTCAGTTTTCCCTAAGAGAAAGACCAGCTGGTTTGAGAAGACCTCTTCCACCTAAGTGATCATCATCTCATAAAGGAATCTGCACTGTGCTTTCCACATCCAAAGGCAGTGAAGGTCTCCAGCCTCTCACTTTCACAAGTTGGTTTGGGAAGACCTTTTTGACCTAAGTGATCATCATCTCATAATCAGATCTGTACTCTGTGCTTTTCATATCTAAAGGCAACGAAGGTCTCCAACCTTTTGCTGTGCATATTCTGGTGCAGACATATGAATGCCTACTGGTGGATGAACCGGCTCCTGTGGGTTGATGAAACAGCTCTGACGGATCTTCTGGGTCCCTGCCACATATTTCTTCCTTTGTATCGCAAATGATGACACTGTAAGTAGATTAAAAAGTAGCAGGAATTGAGTCATTTATGTGATTATTCATTATGATTTTTATAAAATGGCACAAAGGGAAGAGGAAATTCTAACCCAGAGATACTATATTGGTTTTTTGTTTGTTTTTTAAGATTTTATTTGTTTATTTGACAAAGAGAGCTCAGGGGGAATGGCAGGCAGAGGGAGAGGGAGAAGCAGAGTTCCCCACTGAGCAGGGAGCCCAATGCAGGGCTCAGTCCCAGGAGCCTGGGATCATGACCTGAGCTGAAGGCAGATGCTTATCCAACTGAGCCACCTAGGTGCCCCATAGATACTATTTTGAATTTGTATTTTGAGACACCAAAAGGAGAGAGAAAATTTTTTTTAATTTTAAAAATTATTTATTTATTGAAATATTTTATTTATTTATGAGAGACATAGAGAGGCAGAGACATAGGCAGAGGGAGAAGCAGCTTCTCCAGGGGGTACTCAATCCCAGGACCCCGGGGATCACCACCTTAGCCAAAGGCAGATGCTCAATCACTGAGCCACGAGGGTGCCCCCCCCAATTTTTAAAATTTTATTTTTATTTTATTTTTTAAAGATTTTATTTATTTATTCATGAGAGACACACACACACACATAGAAAGAGAGGGGAACAGACACAGGCAGAGGGAGAAGCAGGCTCCACGCAGGAGGCCCGATGTGGGACTCGATCCCAGGTCTCCAGGATCACACCCTGGACTGAAGACTGCACTAAACTGCTGAGCCACCTGGGCTGCCCCCCGATTTTTTTTTTAAGATTTCATTTATTTATTCATGAGAGACACAGGCAGAGACACAGGCAGAGGGAGAAGCAGGCTCCATGCAAGGATCCTGATGCAGGACTCGATCCCGGGACTCCAGGATCACACCCTGAGCTGAAGACAGATGCTCAACTGCTGAGCCACTTAAGGCCCCCCCACCCCCATTTTTTTTTTTTTTAAGATTTCATTTTTAAGTAATCTTTACATCCAACATGGGAGCTTGAACTCACAGCCCTGAGATAAGGAGTCACATGCTCCACCAACTGAGCCAGCCAGGCACCCCAAGAAAAATTCTTTGAAATATGATAGACTAAAAATTTTGTTTGTTTAAGAAAAATTTTAGATTTCATTTTAGCAACTCCTCAGTTTCCAATGTTCAGTGAACCATCATTTACTATTCTCATGCAGTACTAAATAAATAAATAAATAAATAAATAAATAAGCCAGCCAGCCCAATGCAGTGCTTGAACTCATGACCCTGAGATCAAGACCTGAGCTGAAATCAAGAGTTGGACGCATAACTGACTGGGCCACCTAGGCCCATGTAGTACTTTAAAGTAAATAGTAGAGGGATGCCTGGGTGGCTCAGTGGTTGGGCGCCTGCCTTCGTCTCAGGGCGTGATCCTGGAGTTCCGGGATCGAGTCCCATATCGGGCTCCCTGCATGGAGCCTGCTTCTTCCTCTGCTTATGTCTCTGCCTTTCGCTCTCTCCCGCTCTTCTGTGTCTCTCATGAATAAATAAATAAAATCTTAAAAAAAAAAAAAAAGCAACTAGAACTTACTTTTTGCTTTTGTTTCCCTAAAGAAAAATCATCTTTTCCTTTTACCTAATTTCATAGTTTCCCTGGAATGCCCTTGGAGCATGTGGAACATAATACATACATGAAAATGACAAGACTTCATTTTAAGGAAATTGCTTATTTTACAGAGAGACTAGAGAATGAGGATTTGGTTAGCAGAAAAATGGTAGACTAGCATGCACCAATTTTCTTAGAATTTGAACCCAATACAGTGCACTTGGATATGATAGTTCTATTTAAGTACAATTTACTGTTTGTTAGATGAATCAGTGGGTGTTTAGCATATTCTGTTTTCTTAGCCTTGTTCTGAAAGACCTCGTGGCCTAGTGGTTAAGAATTCATACTTTACATCTGATGGCCTCCTTCAGCTCTCAGCTTGGCTGCTTATAGGATGTGACCTGGGAGAGTTGTTTTATGTCTCTGAGCTTCAGTTTTCTTACATGTAAAACAGAGATGATACTGGTACCTAATTCCAAAGTTGTCTTGAGGATTAAATGGAAACTGGACCACAATGAAAACTACTCTAATAGTTATTCTGGTAATTACTGTGAGCATTACTACCCTTGTACTGCTATAATCTCAGGATCAAAGATGTATTCTGTTGACTTGACTCTTGATCTTTGTGGAGACCAAAAGTCTTGAATTTTCAAGAATTGGGTTTTTTTCTTGTCAATATATGAATGTATGTATATGTGCCAGACCGTATATGACCTGATTTTTTAGTTCAAAATCTGGCCATTGTACCTATGGTATCTCCTGATCACTTCTGTTTAAAAACAATAATTTCTGATAATCAGTTTGTCACATGTCTTTTTCTTAAAAGAAGCATGGAAAATTTGTGTGCAAAAAGCCATATTGTAATACCTTTCCTGTGCAGTCCAGAAACATAGATACCATTTTATGGTCTGCTCTCAGGAACCGTGGGGGAACCTTAAATATCTTACTCCTCACTTCAGAGCCTTACCACCCTAGTTAGTCACGTTAACTGGGGGGATGAGTTATATGCTTCTTTATTTCTTCAGAGCTGTTGTGAAAATGAATGAAATGTATGTCTGCTTGCTAAAAGATTTTCAGAAGAGAACATTTTATTTTTTGTTTTAAAAACTCTTTTAAAAATAATTTATTGGGATGCCTGAGTGGCTCAGAGATTTAGTGCTTGCCTTTGGCCCAGGGTGTGTTCCTGGAGTCCTGGGATTGAGTCCCACGTTGAGCTCCCTGCATGGAGCCTGCTTCTCCCTCTGCCTGTATCTCTGCTTCTCTCTCTCTGTGTCTCTTATGAATAAATAAATAAAATCCTTCAAAAAAAAAAGAATTTATTTATTTATTTGAGAGAGAGTGTGCAGGCATGAGTGCAGAGAGGGACAGAGGGAGAAGCAGATTCCCTGTTGAGCAGGGAGCCTGACTCTCGGGGCCTGATCGCAGGAACCCAGGATTATGACCTGAGCTAAAGGCAGAGGCCTAACTAACTGGCTGAGCCAACCAGGTGCTCTTGGAATAAAACATTAATATTTCTTGAGAAAATTTGGGATTTGAGAAAACTTTAGTTTCCCCTTATTCTCTAGAAAGAAAAATGCCTGCTTGCATCTTTAATATTCTTCTAACTACATTATAGGCAGATATTTCTGAGCCTGTTTAAAACTATTGTTTAATGCCATAATAATTGAAATGAAACTATATCAGAAAATAAATTTGAATAATATGTTTATATCTCTCCCCTAAAATGACATGAGAGCAGGAATGGTTTCTTACTTATGTTAGTACTCTAGTGCCTATACTTATGCCTAACTCATGTAGGCACTCAGTGTAAATTTATTGATTATTGATTGAAAATTTACTTATGGTCAAAAGTCCATAATATGAAGTATTTTTTATGTACTGTATCCTTACTTTTTATGGTAGAGTCAACCATGATTTGATCGAATATGGGCTCAAACAGTTTACATTAGAGCTAAGGCTGAACTAAAATGTAATTTTACATAAAATATTGTAAAGTTGGGATGCCTCAGTGGCTCAGTCAGTTAAGTGAGTGACTCTTGATTTCAACTCAGGTCATGATCTCAGGGTCATGGGATCGAGCCCTGCTTTGGGTTCTGTGCTCAGCGGGGAGTCTGCTTGAGATTCTCTCTGTCCCTCTGCCTCTCCCCTGCTCCCTCTCTCTAAAAAAATAAATCTTTAAAAAAGTCTTAAAGTTATAAAAATCTATTTTAAACTGATAAAAATTTTATTTGCACACTAAAATTTTGTTTCTTTACATCTCTGACTCCATTCACATTGTTATAAATGTCACAAGTTACATATTTTGTTGTTGTATATCTGTTAATGTAAACTTACAGTTATCTCTTACATTTTGTCTCTTAAATCCCATCCCAGAATTAAAAGTACTCCACCATTACAGTATCACAGTATTCTGTATTTATATATTTACCTTCACCGGTGATACCTACACTTTCAGATGCTTTTGTGTTACAGTTTAATGCCATTTTTTAATTTATTTATTTATTTATTTATTGCCATTTTGTTTTATTTTTTATTTTTTTTAAAAAAATTTTTTTTTAATTTTTATTTATTTATGATAGTCACAGAGAGAGAGAAAGAGAGGCAGAAACATAGGCAGAGGGAGAAGCAGGCTCCATGCACCGGGAGCCTGACGTGGGATTCGATCCCGGGTCTCCAGGATCGCGCCCTGGGCCAAAGGCAGGCGCCAAACCGCTGCACCACCCAGGGATCCCGCCATTTTGTTTTAAATTAAAGGACTCCCTTTAGCATTTCTTTTTTTTTTTTAAATTTTTTTTTTAATTTTTATTCATTTATGATAGAGAGAGAGAGAGAGAGAGAGAGAGAGAGAGAGAGAGAGGCAGAGACACAAGCAGAGGGAGAAGCAGGCTCCATGCACCGGGAGCCTGACGTGGGATTCGATCCCGGGTCTCCAGGATCGCGCCCTGGGCCAAAGGCAGGCGCCAAACCGCTGCGCCACCCAGGGATCCCCCCCCTTTAGCATTTCTTATAGGGCAGATGTAGTGATGATGAACTGCCTCAGTTTTTGTTTATCTGAAAATGTCTTACTTTCTCTTTAATTTTTGAAGTTTAATTTTGCCAGATATGGTATTCTTCGTTGGCAGTTTTTTTCCTTTCAGAACTTTGAATATATTATTCTACTCCCTTCCAGCCTGCAAGGTTTCTGCTGAAAAGTCTGTTGGCCACCTATTAGGAATACCTTTATACACATTGAGTTGTTTTTCTCTCACTGCTTTCAAGATTCTTTTGTGATTTTTAAAAATTTGATTATAGGTATCCCTGGGTGGTGCAGCGGTTTAGTGCCTGCCTTTGGCCCAGGGCGCGATCCTGGAGATCCCGGGATCGAGTCCC